AATGGGTCAGTGTCCCTTTCATGGGGAGGGGTCCCAAAATGAGGAAGTAAATGAAGTCTTCCTCATTCTGACCTTTCTACCTTTTCGATGCCAATATGACAAATGAACTCTTGGTAGAACTCCCATTCCTTGTCTTCAATTGGTTTCAGAACAGAGGAGACCCACAATTGTCTTATGTTCCTAAAAGCTATTTGTCAGTTTCTATATTCTTCATTATAAATCCAGCTAACTGAACATTGTGCTGACAAGCAATCAATTGTTAGTTAACTACTAACTCCTAACTTCATCAAGGCCTACTCATTTATTATTATTATTATTTTAATTAACTCTAGTAAGGCTTATTTCTAACTAAAATCTTAGCTCCTCTAAAATCTCTAAATTCCTTAAAATTTACGTTTCATGAGTGTTCAGGTGTTAATATTCCACTGATATGAGTGATACAGGCCAGTCCTTCAGGACAACATGAACAGAGAACTCCTGACATGGCTGTTACACACCACGTGTGTGTGTTCTGGGGTGGGGGTTCATGGATGTCAGCTGAGAATCCAGCAACCACGTGCATGCAGCACTGGGTGGAGAGCTTCTTGTGGGGGTAACTCATGGATAAGGCACCGAGGGCAGGAAGAGGTTCTGGGTGCTTCTTCCAAATTTGGTTGTAATTTGGGGATCTCACCCATGGCATGACCCTGCTGACACCAGCGCGAGTTCCTTGATTTTAGTAACGATGCGTGGGGGTTTAAAGATGTGGATGAGTTCAGGCAACTGATTACAAAAAACACACTGAAATCCAGAATGAAAAAGAGGAAGGCTCAGGCAAACTGTAGCTAGCTGACTGCTTCCAGAGGAGGTAGTGAGGACTCTGCCCTGACTGCTCTGTCTGTGACCAAAATAGACCTTCTCCAGCACATCCTGGGAGTGGTCATCTCAGTATTAAGTTTTCTTTCCTATCATACCTTCATTATTTCCAGGTGATCACACTGTTCCCAGTAGCTTGCTCTGACTGCCAGCAGTGCAGCTGAGCTGTTCCTGACCCCTGGTCTATCGTAATTTGAAGGCTTTGCCGGAAGCCTTCAAGTGGTATCTGTTGCTTTGGGAGTGATTTGTCCAAGATGGTCAATTTTCACTGTGGAGGAGAAGGAAGGTCACTCGGAAATGTTCTCTCCAAGGAAAAACTCCCTTCATTTCTATTTTAATCTCTCCGGGGATTAATTGCCTCCTAAAAAAAAACCTGGAAGAGCAGAGAAGTAAGAGCATGCAGGCAAGCACGTGTGATAAAGATAGGCTGGGGACAGCCATGTTTCAGACTGGCTGTTGTACAGACTTGCTTTTAGTAAGTAATTTGTAAAAGGGAAAAACCATTAAAAAGGGACAGGAAAACGTCCCTGCATGATTAGCTGTAGACACAACTTTTAAAAACAGCAGAAAATACCCTAACTGGACAGAAAAAGCCCAGCTGTCTGCTGAGCACTCCCTTTCCCTTCTCCTCTGCCCGTGAGCCCAGCTTTGTCTGCTGGGGCAGCACAGAGCTGTGGGAAGACTATTCTCAGCCACTTCAGGTTGTAGCTTAACAGTGTGGTAAACCTCCTGCCATCAGATCAAACACACCCCAGCCATGCCATACACAGGGCAGATAAGTATAAACTTGTTGGTTCAAAATACTTTTTGAGCTTTTGAGACAATAGTTCTTGCACAGCCAAGCTTCATGGCTGTGCTGCTCTGTTTTTTCTCTGGGCCAGGTGCTGCTTGTTCTCCCACACATGGGACAAAGCCATCAAGAGCACCACATAATGCTTATTCAATGGAAAGGACCCCTGTCACTGTGCCTTAGCCAGACCAGATTTATAGGGATGGGTGATGCAGGAGGGCATTGGCTGGATGAAAACTATCAGATTGTCACCACAGAATACCTGTCACCAAAGATATGTGTGGATAGATAGGCAAGTGTTGTGTGAATGAAGGGTATCAGGAGGTTGTGTGAAAGCCAGGTCACCAAGGGGAGTCACAACTGAGCTGGGTCAGTTTGTCTGGGCAAGGCTCACCACCAGAACTCCTTTGGCCAGTGCTGGTGCTGAGTTGTGTGGAGCTGCATCCTCCACAACAGTGCTCCTGTTGACTTCTTGGCTGTCTCCCCATCAGGCCTGGGCTCCATTTAGTTGTGAAACCTGACCCTCATATCCTATGTCCAGCAGGTATGAAGACCAAAGTAAATAAGCCTCAATAGAAGCCACACTTGTTAGGGACAGAACAAGTGTTAGATTTCATAATTCACCTTGGGACTCGTTTGCTGAAGGCTGCTCCCAGCCCATTAGCACTGATGTCTGTTTTTAGCCCTGATTCCTGTCAGCTGTGGGTCCCAGTCCATGATTGTGACACACTGTCAAGAATCCCTTTTTTTTACCCTTTAACATTTAAAAAACAGCTGTGGGGTTTTCTTCTGCTGGCTGTTCAGCATCTTCGGCCACAGGAAAGGGAAAAGCTGAGCTGCAGTGCCTGTGGAGAGGTTTCCCATTCCTCATGGCTGATTATTTTCTAACCATCCCTGAATTTCTGGCTTATTTCAGTGCATTAGGGATCCAGTTCAGTGAGCACATAGGACATGGGGGTGCTGGCTAGGCAAACCTCTGGGAGGTGACACCAACCTTCTCAGGCATGCTTAGGAAGCACAGCTGTTTTCCAGCTAGAGTTGGAAAGTTCTGGTGGCATTTCACGGGAGGGTTTTCAGTATCTCCTTCCTGATCAGATCTCCCCACTGGGTTGTTTGAGCTGGCTCCTTGCCGGACAGCAGCTTAAGCCTCCCAGAGGCAGAGGGAAAGTTTTGTGCACCATGCAGGAAAGCATGGGGCCTCCTAAAGTGAAAGGAAGCACATAAATGAAAGATTGTACAGCTGCTGTTATCAGAGCTGGGCAAATCAGCCATATTTTCTTCCCAGCCTTCTGAAGAGTCAGAGAGCTTAAAGGTTCACGCAAGTGAAGGAGTTACTGTGCTTGGAAAGGCAGATGAAAGAAGAACGGAGATGGATGATATAACAGGAGCAAAGATGAGTGTGATGAGAGGGATTTCTATCCTTCCATAAAGGAAGTAAAAACTTTCCACAGACACAGACCTTCTGCCATGCTTTTCATCAGCAAAGCCCAGAGGCCCTTGGGATGGCACATGGAGTGATGGGGAAAGAGAAGGGCTGCAGAGACTGGAGGAGAGGTAGAGGAACAAAGCAGCATCTGAAGCAAGTGCAGGCAGGACGTGAGCAAGCCTGCAGCAGTGAGCTGTGGGAGAGCACAGAATGGGCCCTAAGCATTGGTACAGTGATGGAGTAAGAAGCTGTGAGTGTAAGCTATGGAAGGTCCCTGGGATGCATGTTCAAAGCCAGACTCCTGGGAAGCATATCCACAGAGCTTTACTGAATATAATTGTTTATACATTTTCACCTAATTGGGGTTAATCTGCTTTCTACTTTGGCTAATCAGCTGATTTGGAGGCCTAATAGGTTGGAGGGGGAAGTTTTGCTTTCGTCCTGTTTTCAAGACCATGGAGTCAGGGGCAAGCGAGCACTGTGGAGGGGCTCAGAGCTGCCTGCTGTCAGGTCTGGTAGAAAAGTGCTTTATCCGTTGAGGAATGGTGCTGAGGAGCAGGTCCTCAGGAGGGACTAGTGCCTTTCTTCTTGCTAATTGGCAGATCTTGTGAAAACAAAGGATTACTAGGGAAAAATCTCCTCTGCAAGAGCCCAGCACTGAGCGAGGTACCTACTCTGCAGAGGTCTGCTGAGGCTCCCACATCCTGGGGGGTACCATTCCCAGCTGGCCCCATGCCCTGCCCTCATCCTTCTGCCCTAGGCCCCCACCTCCACCAAAGGATATGCATGATTCTGGCACAGACATCTGGTGTCCATCCACTCAGGCACTGATGCTATTTCAGGCTCCTTTGCTGGGTGGTGAGTCATGGGCACCTCATGCAAAATCTTCCATGTCACTTCAGGCTAAAGGAGATGGTGTTGCCATCATAAGCACATCCTGCCCTTTGAGGGTTGGAAAAGTCAGGGTGAGCTCAGCCATGTGACGAGAGCTCGCTGTGCTACAGGGAAGCTGCTGTAAATGCTGGCTCTAATTACTGCTCATTACTTAGCTTGTGAATATTGACCAGCACCTAGAGCCGACACAGAACAGCCTCCATTGCCTTCTCTACCACCCTGGTCCTGGTTACCTGCTCCCTTCCCCAGGCATTGGAGCTCCATCCACCCCAGTCACAGCTCCCTCAGCCCCTTACCCAGGCAAGGATGTCAGAGCACAGTGGGGTGAAGCTTTCCTTTAACACGAGTCCCTGCTTGTCCAGACTTGGCTTCGGAGTAGGCTTCTTTGAGAAGATGGCAACTAAACTGGTGAGTCACAGCAAGAAGTGCAAGAAATGCTCCTGGCCTGGCGTGAAATGTCCAGGTGAGGTGGAACTCCTGAGGATCACCTGTAGCCAAAAAAGCATTCCTGCAAGATGTGGTTGGAAAGGAGCCTCAACTACAGCAAAGCACAAGGACAGCCCAACAAGGAGCCCTGGGAGCCACTGGGGAGGGGGTCAGCTCTGGCCTCAATGTTCTGGCAGCAGCTGGACCTTCAGAGGTCCCACCTCACCTACACCCTTTTGAGTCTTAGTGAGAAGCCCAGTGCTAAGGCTGTTTAAAACTGAAATGTCAGGGAGACTAACAGGACCTTTTTTTTTTTTTCCTTCTTTTTTTTGCCAGCATGGGACAACCAACACTGATTTTGCAACTTCACTGCAGTGGGTCTGAGGCACTGACCAAAATGTTTAAGGAAGTGTAATGGCCAAGTCAAGGAAGTGTCACGCCTGGGAGGACTGAGTGTCATTTCTGCATCACTTCTCAGTCATCATCAGATCCAGTAACACACATCCCACCTCCTTTCCATCCTCCCTTAGTGCAACTCATGATCTCCCCTTCCCAACTGGGATCACCTCACGCCCAGTTGCATCAATTCAACTGTTAGCATGGGCAGACTCCAACAAGTGGAAGACTTTATTATTATTTTTTAATCATCTCCAACTGGGGGTTCCACAGTAGTGTCCAAGACAAAGTCGAAACAGTTGCCACCCTCAACTTCTCATTTTTTCCCTCCCTAGTGCTTTCTGAGTTTATATTCAGTACATGAGGTAAGCAACCCAGCTTTAAAACACCACCTTAAAAAACCAAAAAGTTATGAGGAAAGAGGGATGCCAACATGGAGTTTTAATTGCAGAGCCTTTCAGTGCTGTGGTTAGTGATCCTTTGCAGAGATAGACACATTTCTAAGAGGGGCACAGGCCAGTAGTTCAGGAACAGGGCTTGAAGCATCTCCAGCTTGCATAAGGAGAACAGCACTAGGAGCAATGAATAATTAGGACTTCATGGTGACTGCCCACATGCAAAAGGCCAGCTCTCTCACAGAGTTCTCACAAAAGAGAGCCATACAGGCATTAACAGTAAATCAAAGCATACAGAAAAAGGTTAGATACTCAGAAGGAAGCAGCATGACTCACTTCAGCTCACAGAGACAGCTCAGACCCCAGACAACAGCAACACCTTCCTCAAGAGTGGAGGATGCAGAATCCATGATCAGCCCCTGCCCTCATTCCACAGGAGGCACGAGCCAGGATCAGGAGGGGGCAAGTGCCATGCACAGAGGACACCAGGAAACACTATCCCTTGCTTGGCTAAGCAAGCAGGAAAATCACTGTTGATTTTGAGAACAAGGCTGCTTAGATCCAAGTGCCAGTCAGTGAAAACCTGTTCTCACTCAGAACCCAGTGAAGAGCCCCTTAAGGCAGGCCAGCTCTTCTCTCCACTCAGTGCTCCATTTGCTCAAAGAAGCCTAAAGCTTCCTGAGCTTTAGGCTGTTAGATGCAAGTGCTGGCAAACAATTTGTAGCATTAAGCACCGAGCTAGAGTAAGGTGCACTGGGGCTTTTACACATGCTGTTGTCTGTGGGTCAAGCAGCTCTGCTTCCCTATTACAAAAACAGGAAGCCAGGGACTAACCCTTGCACTCACCACCACACCCTAAGCCAGGGTAGGGAGGCTGCCCTGAACCAGTTTTTGCCTCGAGAAAAACATCCACCTAAGACCATGTGGGGGCATCCTCTTATAATCCATCTTTATTTGTAAAAATCCACATATAAAATCTTCAGTTTCCTTTTACAAAAACATAAAGGCATATAAAACGACTCAAACTCTCACCCCCTGGACTGATGGTCGGACATTCCCTCCCCACCTCAACCTCCCCCTTGCTTTCTCCTCCAGTCCATGTTTCTTCATGTTTCCTTTAGTTTTTCAGCTCACTCCTGCTCAGACAGTTCTGCTCTTGCAAAGATGAAGTATGCACACAGGGGAGATGGTGGAGAGGTGGCATGGGCTGTGCGTGGAATGTTTTACAGGTACTTTTTAGTAGTAGGTCTCTTTTTCCACCCAGCCTGAAGGAAAAGGAGGGAGAAAGCACAGTTAGTCCCAAGGCAAACCAAGTATGAGGCTCATGAGAGTTCCTTTTCATTTCTTCAAAACTTGCACTGTAGCACCTGAGCTAATAAGCGACCTGCCAAATGGGAAAATCTTGCCAAATTGATGTTCTCCAGCTCTCATGACCCTTTCCAGCTTTCTAGAGCTATCCAAGCATTAATGAGTCTTTTCCATCTACTTCAGTGCATCTGTACTTTTATATAATGCAAGAGAATGTAGCAAGAAGTCCTTAATTTGAACTAACTGCACAATTAATGTTGAGGAAGGGGAAAACACAGAAAAATACAGCCCCAAATAGTGCTTAGGGGTTCCCAAGCTTTGCCGGGGTTTACAAGCAGCACATTCTTACCGCCAGGGTTGCGCCTGATAATGAGCTTTCTGACTTCATCATACACGAAGATGAGGAGGGAGTATGGGAAAGCACAGAACCACCAGGTCGGCCTGTATGGGAGAGGAGACAGTGAGAACACAGGCTGTGGAGATGCTCTTTGCCTGGCACAGCTCTGACTTGATGGCACACTCAAGCACAAGAAGGCTGGCATGACCCAGCTTGCCAGTTCAGTCAAGAATCCTCCAAGCCAAGAATTACTACCAGGTTTTCTGCTGCAATAGATTAATTCACTTTTGGATAGTAACTCCAACACAAGGCATGTCATGGCACCTTTGCTCATCTCTGTACCAGCACCTCCCTACCTATCAATCAAGCAATATTTCCTCTAAGTACACAACCTTTGTGCCCAGAGCCTTGCTTACTGGAACTATTTTGTTTCCCTCGTGACTTACACATACTAACATCCAGCTGCTGCAGGCACTGGGCAGAGGCCAACTTTCTTGTTAGGAAATGCTCACACTTCAGCACTCAACTCTTGGAATGCAAGATGTACCCAGATTTTTTTTTCCATGAAGACTTCATGACACTTAAACTTTGAACAGTCCTCTGGCTTAAGACTAAACCCTGCCATGAAGTGTTGCAATGCTGTTGAGCAACACCTTAAATGTTGGCACCTCCCCAACCATTAGGAAAGTTACTGTGCATCAACTGGTCATCTGCATTTACGTAGCAGCTTTTAAAAGACTTTACTACTTGTTCTTTTCCCAAGGGATGGAGGAGAAAAGGACAAGACGTCATCAGCAGTTCTTCAGTACCCAAGAGTCATTTGGCCTATGAATTACAGCAATGCAACTGGCTTTCTTTGGAGGTGCAGGACCCTACCCATAAAAATACTCCATGAAAATAAGTGCAAGAGACAGCTGCACTAGAGCACACTGGTACTGAAGTGCATTGCTGATTTTTAGTGAGGCATTGAACAGGAGGCTCCTCATAAACATTCCACACACAGTGAAGAAAACCCCAGTGTGCCACAGAACAGAAAAGAATCGCTGAAACCCTCTAGCCTGAAATCTTAAAACTAGGTTTGATGCTCCACTGGTTCACAACTATTTTTATCCATCTCCCTACCCCAAGCACTATTGTTCTGTGGTACAGTCTGTTACACAAAAAGCACATGCAGCTTACTTCAGAGGATACATCCTTAGAGCAACATCCATCCCAGGGCAGTAGGACAGGAAGGCAGCCAGAGCAGTCTCCTCAAAGAGACCAAATATTAAGATCTTGTTCCTAGAAGAGACAGGAAAGAAGTCAAGGACAAAGTGCTTTCAGAGATGACCTTCTAAAAAACACCTAGTTGCCACATGGGAATGAATGGAAACAGACATTGCAGTCTAGCCCAGAAGGTCATCAGGTGAGGACTACGAGGCCATCCATCCAAGGCAACAGTAGAGTTGCCATGATGGTATTTTAAGTTTCTTCAGAGACAGCTCATGATCAAGTCAACCAGCAACTGCTTTCACCGCAAATTCAGGAGGTGGCTGGGGTGTCATAAGATCTCTTCATGTACAAGATCAGGAGATCAAGGCTATGTGCTGGAGTGCAAGTGTCCTTTGAGGTGGGCTAGCTCCCACAAACAATGCCAACAGAAGCCATCTTTGTCTCCGCCTGAGACCTGCAAGTCTACAAGGAAGAGTGCACCCAGTCTTCTTTCATCTACTACCAAGGCAGTCTAGTCAAGACTTTTGCCAAAACACCCAGACACTGCTGGGATGAAGGACTAGAATGCTATGTGCTGGAGAACACACAGAGTCCAATTTTAAATCTCTTCCATGGACAGGCTGACTTACTTCATCCCCTGCTGGAAGACAGAGTTTCTTCGGGTCTTACAAATTATCAAGTCTGCCCACTGCACGACCACGATGCTGACAAAGAAGGCTGTATGGCAAGTGAACTCCACTATCTTCCTCTGTTCGTAGGTCTAAGAAGCAGACAAAGCAGAGAGCATTTGTTCAGACATGCTGCCTTTGCTCTCTGGTGCTCACACCAAGTTCAGCAGGCATTAATATTCTGGCTGGCAGCCACTAAGCTGTGCCTCAAAACTTACCCATTGCTGCCCATAGCTGTCTTCTACATCGTTAATCCATCGGTCATCCCACTGAACTCTGATCCCTAGCAAGCCAGAAGGCCAGAACCCATTCTCTGCCATGATTACAAAATAGGTGAAGAAACCTCCAAGGGCCTGGATCATACCTAAACAGGTAAGAAAGGATGATAAAACTGATGAAGCTACTGTGCAGAGCAATTATAACAGAACAACAGTTTGCAGGAAACCCTAACCACCTTAAAAATTACTCCTTGCAGGGCAGGGCTCAATGTCCCAGGCAGCAGCAGTAGAAATAGTTCATACCAACATCAAACTCAGCTGCAACCCTTTTGCTGAACAGCTTCTGCCCCCAACTTTGTACAGAGTTACTTGTGTTCTGCCCTGTGCTGTGATGGCACCATACTCAAAGACACAAGATAAAACTCCCTTTGTATTCTTATTATGCCTTGCCCACCCCCAACCCTTGCAAAATACAGTCAAGAAGGTTCCCAAGGGCTGCTGCAATTAAGCATGAGCTCCCATCCTGTGAACTGGGCACATCTCTGTAGCTGCCTTTAATCAAGGCTCCTAATGCTGTGTGTTCAGGGATACACTGGAGAGAATCCTTTACTTCTAATTAAACTAACAATGGGGTCTATGTTCTTGCTGAACAAGTCTGAACCAGAGGAGGAGAGCTGGTTGTCAGCCAGTTCCTTTACAGTGCTGTGCAATTAAACAAAATTACTGTGAAAGCGATTCAATGGATCGAGTTGCACAAGCCACGGGAGAAGAATCATGGCAAGTTCTTTACTGCCCGAGGTTCTGGTTTATACACCCCAAACCTCAACCCTACCAAAATAAGCAGAGAAGTCACTGACTCAAGACTGTGTACAATCCCTGCTACCACCACGTTCAAACTGGTGCCAGAGAAAACAGAGCAGCTTACCAATCTGCCCATAGGCCATGCTGATCAGCCGTTCATTCACCAGCTTGTCTGTTTTGGGATTTCTGGGCTGCCTCTTCATGATGTCACTCTCTGCTTGCTCATATGCCAGGGAGATAGCAGGGACCTGAGGGTGGCAGGACAGCTCTTAGACGAGTTTCAATTCTCCCCTGCAGTCTTCCCTGCCCCATGTATTCAGTGCCAGAAACAGCACTCCCCAAAAGTGATACTCCAAAAGGACCTTAACCCCCTCCCCTTCCCCAGTCTGTCCATACAGGGAGCTGAAAGATCCTCAGACTCAAGAGCCATGAGACGAATGTGAATAAAAGGAGCATCAGATGGTTGCTTACTTTACATCAGAACACCAGAGAAAACTATTTAAGCATTTTCCTTCCACCTGTCCTTTCTTTAGGGTACCTAAGAACATTCACATTTTTTCTTGAGACAAAAAAACCACATTCACCATATCAGTGCCCAAGTCAATGCAAAGGATGGTGACTGTTCCCAGAGGAAGGGGTATGTTTGCAATGATGAAGATCAGGAACGGTGTGATTTCAGGAATGTTACTGGTCAAGGTGTAGGCAATAGACTTCTTCAGGTTATCAAAGATCAGACGACCTGGGGCAAGGAGGAGAGAAGAGGGTAAGTCTCACTTGTCAGCAAAAGCCAAGCAGGTCACAGGCAGCCTCAGTGCTAACACCAAATGGCAAAATGCTAGTGCAGCAAATGAAAGGGCTCTCTTGTATGTAAGGGTGAGATGGCTCCATGCACAGCAACACCTGTGGAGAGTGACACTTCTGGTCACAGCAATCAGGGCTCACTGCATACAGCAGTAGGATACTAAGCCTTGGTTTCTGGACAGCATCGAAAGCCCCTGGAGGGAACCCTCAGTTCTGCTCCTGTTTGAGAGCTACTTCTCCATCAGGGAGGAAAACGTCACACTCAGCTGGCAAAGATGACTGTTAAGGTCACGTGTTAGGCAACAGCACAAAGTAGCTTCTGTTACTCAGCTGCTTCCTACTCTTACCCATCCCCACAGGATCATGCAGAACACCCAGGGAAAGAAATAAAACTTTGAAGGGAGGAGGAAGAATGCAGCTCTCCTTGAAAACTCTTGTCATGGAGGCAAGCTCTAAGAGCCCCCAGATGCCTTTATTTCAGAGGGGATGCTGAAGCATGTTACTTTATTGCCACAGCACACAAGTTATAAACTCACCTTCTTCAACCCCAGTCACAATGGAAGCAAAGTTGTCATCCAACAGAATCATGTCAGCTGCCTGCTTGGAGACATCTGAGCCAGCAATACCCATAGCAACACCAATGTCAGCCTTCTTCAGGGCTGGAGAATCATTCACACCATCACCTGTGACTGCTACAATGGCACCCTAGTCACAAAGAGAGGAACAGCACGACTGAAATCATCATGTAAGATGTTTTTGGCAAAAAAGCTTTCTCCTGCCTTTCAAATGAAGCACAAAAAACCATTTCACTTTCCTGTAAAGAAACCTTGGTTCCTTCTCACCCTTTCCCTGTTCTGATCAGGCTCATCAAGAGAACCATGCTGCTCTCTCCAAAGGAGACACTGGACAACACACGAGCATGTCAGATCCTCCTCTCCCAAGCACATTCAGAGAATTTAGGAATTAAATTTACTAATGAACATCCTAGGATTAGAACAAAACCTCAGTACAGACTGAAGATGTTTTCCTGTCAGACCCTTATATTTATGTGTGGTAGAGCAGCCTGACATCAGCAGCTGAAGGCTGCTGACAGACAGATTTAACCTGGCCCTTTGCATGAGGGCACTGAGGAGACTTAGCCCTAGCACTTCAACAACAGAACTGCCTGGTAGTTTACATAGATATGTCTGGGCATTTCTCTAATATGACATCCTTATTCTCACTCTCTTTACCTGTCGCTGACAGCCTTCCACAATGATAAGCTTCTGCTGAGGAGATGTCCTGGCAAAGACAATTTCTGTATGGTGAAGCAGGATGTCATCCAACTGCTCGCTAGTCATGTCCTTCAAATCTGACCCATGAACCACACAAGCTTTGGCATCCCTGAAAACAAGATAAGGTATGTTTTACTTTACAGTAAGTTTCTCATGAGCTGTACTTGCCCCATAAAAATAAGGCTCTTCGGTGCTCTGGGGAAAGACCAACTTCTGCTGTGACTAAATACTAATCCAGGCAGCCTCTACACAGAGGTTTGGTGCTCAAAATTTTGAGAGGCAGATGGGGAACACCAAGAAAATGATGACAAAACAGAACCAAGCAACAGACAAAAAACCTCAAGAGCAAATTAATTCTTTCCATAGCTTTCTAAAAGGCATCAAGGCAAAGACTAGTTGTTTCCACAAATCTTAGCCTCTCTGAAAAAAAAGGAACTCCTGGCTCACATAGTTAGATTCCAAGGTTTCAAGAGATGCTGCTGTCTTCTGCAGGCAATCCTTTTTGCAATAGACTGATGACCATGTGACTGGTGACACATGGTTCTTCACAGAGTGTTCACACCATGCAAGTTCCAACTAATTTACACCCTTCAGCCACAAAAGTGTGCAATGTTATATTTAGACTGGTTTGGTACCCTACATGCTGCAGCAAAATACCATCTCTCCGGCCCAGCATACCATCCCTTATAGGTCTAGGAGACTATCCACACAGCTCTTGACATCACCCAGTTTAGACAGGGAAATTCCTTCCCAACCCTTGGAGCCAGCTGCTGACCTGCTCAGTCATACAGCCCAGCCAATCCCAGCCTGCATTGCTGGGTTTTGAAGTTACCCTCAGAATCTAGAAAAAAAAAAAAAAAAAGAAAAAAAATCCCAACCAAAAAATACCCCAAGCAATTTCATTTCACAGGGTGTCTCTATTCACAGTTCATAAGCTACATGGCTGTCCTCCAGCCCAAACACAGGCTGGGTCAAGCTAAGCAATGCAGACAGCCCAGCCATTCTGCAAACAGCCTGCTTATGCCAAAGCACATTTTCTGAGGATGCCTCAGTCCCAGCTAGTAACCCTTAAGAGCAAGGAGCTCCCTTTTTACATTTATTCCTCTTGTAGCTATGCACTAATGTCAACTCCTCTATCTGGCATAAGTCCTGCTCCCTTTGCTCTCCTTACAGTCATACTCTTAAGTACTTCTCACACACAAGACCTGCACATTTAATACAACCTTGTGCATTCTTCACATAACTCACGAGACACACTGAAGAGCCACAATATGCTGAGCTAAGCAAAAAGCCAAGCTTTTCATGTCCAGGGGAGAGATGCTGAGGGATTAACCAAGGCAAGGAGAGAGGCAAACGCTGAATTCTTTTAAAAGCTGTGGCATTTCCCAGCAGATATTACCTAGGGTTGACCTGGCTGACAGGAATGTTGAGTCGAGCAGCAATATCTTCTACTGTTTCATTGCCCTCAGAGATGATGCCAACACCCTTGGCAATGGCTTTGGCTGTGATTGGGTGGTCTCCAGTAACCATGATAACCTGAAATGCAAACAGACTACCGTGAAAGCCTTGCCTGTACTGCAGAGCAATGCTGCCCAAAAAAGCAGGGTCCCTTACACTGCAAATGCCACATGTCTTTTGTTCTACTCGTGAGCCCTAGCACAGAGCAAGTCTGAGGTACAGGCAGTAACCTGCTACCAGTATGTGAGGGATTGAGGTGGATGGAAGACAAAAAATTGTTCATGTTGAGCTAATGAAGCCGGATCAGTCTCCAGCCTGTGCTTCCCTCTCATTTTAGTCAGTACTGTGGCACATGCAGAACTCACCCTGAGCCAAATCATGTGCTTTAGGACACCCATGCTTTCAGCACCTGCCACAGGGCCCTAGCAGTTTGGAGTTTCACTCCTTTTTCAGTTCATGAGCACACCACCATTTGTATTTAACTTAGAAATTAAGCCTGAAGCAGTAGTAATTATCCTGACCAATTACTTAATTCACTCACACTACAGTAATACAGGAGGTCAAGGAAGCCCTTTATTTCCACAGGTATAAAGTGAGGTGATTTTCAACCCAGGAATAAATTACCTTGATCCCAGCACTTCTGCATTTGCCAACAGCATCTGGCACAGCAGCACGAGGTGGGTCAATCATAGACATCAGTCCTACAAAGCAGAGTTTGTCTACAGGGAAGTTCAGGTCATCTGTATCAAACTGGAAGCCATCAGGGAACTGATCATCCGGCAGAGCCAAGTGGCAGAATCCTGTAAAACATCAAACCCACATTTACTCTGTTTCTACACATCAGGAGGCAGAGAGAGTGAACACTTACTGCTTCTGCAAACAGCTGCACAAGAATAACAGGGCAGCTTAGTCAGAGGTTTAGCCAGGGCTGTTGAGACAGGAGTCACGCTCCTATTCTGGAGCACCAGCTGTGGCTAGGTGCCCAGACACAGCCTGGTTCTTGTGCAGTGGAATAAACCCAACAATACTGTGTGGTCCCATGGAAGGTCCCAAATGCTTTGCTGCATTTTGTAACTTCACTGCCAGGAGAGACCAAACCCTGCAGACTGCCTTTTAGATTAAAGGCAGGACTGTCCCTACATGGATTGCTGAAGTGACCTTAATACTATGGTTACACTGCAGGAAGAGTGACCCTTCACTTAATCTGTGAGGACTGCACGGGAACATGAAGGATAAATATTTTCCAGTGTAATCAGGCTGGTTTTCCTTACCTAACACTCTCTCCCCAAGGCCTCCCAACTCAAGGTAGGCATTCTGAAAAGCATCTTTCATTTCCTCATCCAGTGGTTGCTCTTTGCCATGAATAAGAATGGTGCTGCAGCGATCCAAGATCCTCTCTGGAGCTCCCTTCATCACCAGCAAGTAACGGGATTCTGATGGATTTGCATTTTTGTGGATAGACAGCTAAAAGTGGAAGAAATGAATCTGTTCTATAAATATGTACTGTGAAGGACACAGTAATCAACATCAGTGTTTTGCAACTATGGCAGCTCAGGGCCATTTGTGATATTCTGCTCTAGTTCTCAATTGCCCACACTTTAAAGAGGTTTACAAACTAAGGAATCTGTGCATTCTTTAGCATTAATGTATAACTGCAGGTGTTGTGATGACCTTTCTGTATTCAAGTGCCACCTGTTAAGGTCACTTCCCAGCAGTTCACTCCTATTCCCAGATTTGAGTTACTCCATGCTCTGTGCATTACTGCTACACAGGTTGACAGCATGTCTGACCCTTTGTTAGCAGCTAACACCTTAGTGTCAGTGCAGCTCCTTCACATGTAACTATGATCTGATTTACAGAGCAGCTTTCAAGCAAGTAATGGCTAGACAAGATTTGGGTGCCAGAACAAGTTCTGAGGCACACTGTGTGCAAATTTACACAAGTACTTCACACAGCAGCTCTCCCTTCAAGAGGACACCTGCTCACCTGGTACTTGTTGGTAGAGTTAAATGGTATTTCCACCACTTTGGGATACCTTTCTCTCATCTGCTTGACAGAACCACAGCACAATTCAATGCATTTCAGAAGTGCAGACTCGGAGGCATCTCCTGCCACTGCCCTCTGAGGAAAAAAGACAACTATCAAAACATACAACCACAGAAGATTGGATATTTAAAATAGATTTTAAGAGTGAATTCATCACAGCTCAGTCCCAGCTTCTACATAACATTATATGAAAGCAAAGAAGAAATAATTCTATTATCTAGTACCAACAAATACTGCATTTCAGAAAGCCAGCCCTCCCATCTTGAGAGAACAGCAGTCTTCTTGTGACAAAGTCAAGAAGCCCTTTAAAAGAGTTAGAGAAAGGCACATAACCAGGTACAGTCAGACTAAGTGAGGCTGGAGGGTAAACTTTGAGAAGAACTTCTGTAAAGCTGCTTGCCATGAAGAATGCTAATATGAGATGAAGACTGACTACGGGCACACAGAAATACTTCCATGTGCTCTTCCACTCCAAGATAACACCAACTTATCAAGCCTCTGGGAGAAATTTGATCTGTCCCTTCCCCATAAAGGCTGGCACTGGTAGAGACGGGGGTTCTCAGCCCAGGAGATGTGTATGTGCTCAATGTCCTGGTGGAGCTTCCTTTGCTGCAATTGAAACCAAGTATTTCTTGCCCTTCTGGTCTCTCTGTCTGTGAGTAACTTTTTTGTTCATTTCTGTACTACTTTTTGCTATCGAAAGACTTCTCAAAACTTCCCTCTCCCAAGCCTTCCTTAAACAGGAAGAACTCCAGCTCTTTAACTTCAGGTCACATTTTGTAGACTTAAGATACAGTCAGAGGAGTGCTGGGGAAAAATAGCTTGTTCCATCATCTCTACTACCACTGCATCAGAACACCCTTGGGAATAAGTTTATTAAGCAACATGACTAATACTTGACAGATTATAAGCATTGTACAGTTAATTTCAGCCCTGGCTGGGTCACAGTTCAGAAGGAGGAATGTGAACTGGTGCTATGCCAGCATCTGCACCAGCATTGACCCAGTGAAAGCTTAAGGAGACTTGCCAGTGAGAGCAGACTGGCTAGAGACAGTCTTCCACAGCCACTGCTCCCCCTGCTCTGATGTTTATTTCTCCCAGCACCAGGTGTTTGTAGCTTTGAAGCATACAAATGCCAGAGATAGCAATTCCTGGAACAACCAAATACTGGGAAATGCCTAGCAAATCTTTATGGTCTTTCCTAGCCCTGTCTGAAATATCTGGCCTCCCAAACTGAGTGTAGATGGCAGTAGATGGCAGGGATTCTGCTGCGGGGCGGGGGGTAAAGTATTTTCAATCCCATCTCCCCAGCCCACAGCACACTTCCTCTAAGACTGCTAGACTGCAGAAAAGATTCAGAGTGGCAGCTACCTCTACTTTGCAGGTTTGCGTGACCCACAGGATGTAATCTCACTACCATTATGAGAGGATGGTGGTGAGGAGCAAGACCAACACTTTTTGAGAACTCACCTTGAGAATTGGTACATTTTCCTGGCCAGCCTGAAACACAGCACGGTTACAGAGACCTGCAATTCTGGACAAAGCAGTCCAAGTGGCTGAGCTCTTGTCAAAGGAAGCACCTGAAAGCAGAGGAAGTATGTCAAAAAGCCACCCCTCAAAGTCACATAAGCTCAAAATCTCACAGGTTTAAGAGCAAGAAACCTTTATCTCAGAAGCAGGAAACACTGAGAGCATCACTGCATCTCTTTCATTCCTCCTCCCTTCCCAGATAATTGATGAGCAGCTGATTATTTTAAGACAGCAGAAGTGCAAGAGAACACCACTGCTTTCAAGATTCCAGTAATGGCTGTATCCAGCAGCAACAGAGGGACACACTGACAAAGCCAAGGAATTCTGGACAGATAACGTTGATTCAGAGAGCTTGAGTAAGGGATGCTGGGTTCTACGTCTAGGTTGTCTTACTTTATCCATCAACCCAGGAACTGGATGAAAGAGCTCCCAAAGGAACAATGCTTAAATTAAGATACTCTCTCATTCTGGCTCTTAAGCTGGCTTTAAAGGAGATGAATTGAAGAGACAGTTAACCGATAACCTAAATACTTTCCATGAAGTGAAATCTTCTAGGTTTACTTCCACTGCAGCCAAGCCAACCCTTGACTGGTCTAGGGCTTCCAAAAGATCTATTTATAGCTTGTTACTTTGCATTAGTGTTAAATAAAGTGGATTTTTAAAGTGGTGCAGATAGGCACAATGTTTTGGATTGGTTCGGGGCAGGGTGCAGCAGCACCACTGGAAAAATATTTATGCTAATAATGTGTTGCAAGCACAGCATTTCACAAGGTAGACAACAGCTAGGAAACTCCCAAGTTTAGCTGTATTGAACAGTTCAGGAGAGATAAGCATTTCTCCCAGTTGTACAGCACACTGAGATTTCAGATTCTTATCAACTAGGAGAAACTTCCTGCTAAAGTCTTACATTAATTGCTGGCACTATGCAAACACAGCCTGGATGTTCTGGGAAAACTCCTGTCCAAAGGCAACCATCTAGTTCCACATGGGAACTTGCCATTTATGTTCAGCCTCAAGTAATTATTATCAGGGCCAACACTTCTGCTGTCATTACTTTCAACAAACTTAAGATTGAGCAATTTCATCAAGATACATTTTAGCAAAGATAATCAGGTACTTTGCAAATATTTCTATGTACAGGACAAACATATGGGGTTGAACATTCAGGAGGCTCCAATTCCAATGGAGTAATTCTGCACAAAAGGCAAGCTAAACAAAATTTAATGATTAAACAGAATCATGTTACAGTGCAAAGCTTTCTATGTGTCATTTAATTTTTTTTATGCTCATTCTAGACTGTACATTAGAAATCCTTGCATTGTGAACATCACTTGGACTGAAGAGCTACAAATACAGGTTCTTAGAAGTACCAGTGTCCAGACAGGCTCAGAAAAAGCCATTTTTAAATGAAATGCCTCAAGCACAGAGAGGCTGTCTTACCACTCTGGTTCTCTGTAGTATCAGCCTCATGGATCTGATTGTCAAACCACATGTGGGCAACTGTCATACGGTTCTGTGTCAGAGTGCCTGTTTTGTCAGAACAGATGGTGGATGTGGAACCCAGGGTCTCCACGGCCTCAAGGTTCTTCACCAAGCAGTTCTTACGAGCCATACGCTTGGCTGTTAGTGTCAGACATACCTGGGGACAAGAAAGAAGATGTTAGGTTAGATGCACCTGTGCAGTAATAACATTGCTATCCAACTGAATGTGCACATGGAATGACAACCAGCTTCCATGCCCTGCAGCGATTCCCTAACTCCCTCCTCATCCTGCCAGTGCAAAAGAAACAGCAACATTTCAGCCCAGGTGCTAGGTTTAAATGACATTTTCCTCATTACAAAACCTCCAGAAAAGGCTTCAGCCTCCTACTTCTCAGTGTATTAGGAAGGAAGTAACATGCCTCAGACTAACATTTCAGTCAAAGTTGCCACCTCCCAATGATAAGAGTTCTCAAAATAGGTGAAGGCAAGCCACATATGAGAAGGCCCAAATTAGCCCTGGTGATAAGGCTTGCAAGTTGCTGGGGTAGAAAGTGAGCAGCTCCAGCTCACTTTCTTGCTAGAGGCTCTTATCTGGTTCCAGTTCCCAACTGTTCATTCCCTGGCTTGGTTGCTACTCTGCTCCTAAGGCAGCACGGAAGCATTTTCTCCTGTCTACCACCACTCTCTGTACACCCAAGAACTCCTAGATAGATGCTCTCACCACCTCTTCAGGAAACCAAACGTACAAAAACCTCTGACAGATTCTAGACCAAAAGCTGAGGCTAGAGTGAAGCTTGCTGGATGCTCTGCCAGTCCTTACGGGTTGGAAGGGCTGGTGTGCATGTGGGTGTAGAAACCCTAATGGTTGCAGCAGGGAAATCCCTTATTGCCACAGAAAAAGGCAGGACTTGGAACTCCTAGTCTTGCTCACCTCAGCTGTATGATGCCAAGCCTCTGTGCAGGCCTAACTTAGGGACCCATCTTTATGAGCTAAATTGCTGCAGAACTTGATGTTGATTCAGGCAATTAGTTAAAACACACTGAACTTAGAAAGCCCAACCCTACACACTCACCTTCCATTACTTCAGTGTTCACCTCTCTGAATGCACACTGATATAAAGCACTCCACTTCCTTAAGCACCAAATTCAATCTTTTTTCCAACTTCACTCACCGTAACTGTTGCAAGCAGCCCTTCAGGGACATTGGCAACAATGATCCCAATGAGGAAGATAACAGCCTCCAGCCATGTGTACTCAAGGATGAGAGACAGGATGAAGAAGGAGACACCCAGGAACACAGCCACTCCAGTGATGAGGTGGATAAAATGCTCGATCTCCATGGCAATTGGAGTTTTCCCCCCTTCCAGTCCAGAAGCCAAACTGGCAATACGGCCCATCACAGTGCGATCCCCAGTGCTAATGACAATGCCACGGGCAGTGCCTGGAAGAGAGATGGCTTTAAGAAAACAAAAACAACCACAGCTTCATATCCTGTAGGTGTGGAAGAGATGTCCTGGGCGGGCTTCAGCACAAAAACCCCGTATTCAGAGCTGCAACAGAAGTCCTGCCCAGAGATGTCTGACGTTCCTGCTTTCTGCGGCAGCTGTAGTACTACATACAGCTCTGCCTTATGGTTCACGTTATCCTATCTGCACTTCAACACTTTTTACTTGTAATAAAACAGGCAGGCTAGAAGACACACCACATAGCTTTTCCTCTGAAAGAAGTAAGATGAAAAAACCCAGTAGTGCTGTGGGGCTTTTACCCATTCTACAGTAGTGCAGTTGGAATGGGCAAAGACTTTGATGGGAACTTCCACCCTGCTTTTGCATTCCCACTGCTTATCTATAGAGCTCAGTATCATTGCTCATACTTCAGAGAAGTAGGAGACACACATACCTTCCACACAGTTGGTGGAAAAGAAGGCAATGTTCCTGGTCTCCAGTGGGTTCTCATGGGAGAAGTCTGGAGACCTGGTCTGAGGCTCTGATTCACCAGTAAGTGAGGAGTTATCCACCTACATGAAAGAGAGTACTTTGTCATATATGAGCAGACAGATGCCTACTAGGTACCTTCCCCATCCTTCCCCTCTACTCCAGCCCCCATTCACAGCATAGAGACTAATTCATCCTCTTTCAGAATGAAGTTTCCCAACAGCCTGTCACTAACGTACCTTGCAGCCATGTGCAGATATGATCCGAAGGTCAGCCGGAATTCTGTCTCCTCCTTTTACCTCCACTAGATCTCCAACTACAACACCTTCAGCATTTATGCTCATCTTCTCACCGTTTCTGACTACAAGTGCTTGCTGAAAGACAGTGAAGAAACAATCTGTGTCAAAAGCAACTCTTAAGGCTCTAAAGATCTGAGAATCTTAAAATAGTTATGCTATACTTCTGCAAGGTTTCTACTAAAAGATGTTTATATCTAATATATGTTATTTAAGGAAAATAAGGTTTTTTCCTTGATATTAAAGCTTCTTGTTACCGATGTGACAGTGTGATAGTTATGATCCAGATTGTCCCTGAAGGAATGCAAATTTTAGTGCTAATCATACCAGTTACTGAACTCCCTAAACTATGGAGAAAGTGTCCTATGATTGTTAACAAGCTGGTGGAACCCACAGGTTTTCAGGAACTACCTTGGCCTATTAGCATAGCTACTTGGAGCAGTCTCACAGATCCCTCAAAATTAAGAGCTAGTAACCCACATTAACAGCCAGGCCCCTGAAATTGGAGATGGTGTTTAAAACAATTAATACCTTTGAACAAGCTATGGCTTGACAGACATCAAGGAAATTATTTATTCCATACCTGAGGCACCAAGTTCTTGAAGGACTCCATGATCTTGGAACTTTTTGCTTCTTGGTAATAAGAGAAACAGCCAGTAATGATAACCACAGCTGCCAACACAATACCCAGGTACAGCTACAAAGAGCAGAGAAAGTGAGTCAGAGGAAAATCTGCCTGAAAGGTTTTCAGTTTGTCCAAATTAATTGCCTGGCATTTAAGTGCCCCAACACAAGCATGAAGGTACTTGCAGTCTCTGTTCAGTTTTAACACAAAGGATGTCCACAAGCTAGTGTTGTTAACACAACATAAAGGAAGTTGCCTGTTCATTTAATTATGTGGACGCACTCCAACATGTTAAGCTTGCACACTGCATTTCCCGTGCTTATGGGAAAAGCTTCTGGACTGAATGCTTAAAGGAAATTAATCTGCCTAGAGCCCAAAAGGCTGCTCAGCCTGCCTTTGAGGTAAACCAGACATTTTTACTTACGTTATCTTTGTTGGGCTCCTCCTCCATCAAGCTCTGTATGCCGTAAGCCAGGAAACACAGAATAGCACCAATCCACAGCAGGAGCGAGAATCCTCCAAAGAGCTGCCGACAGAACTTCACCCACTCAGGAGTGGTGGGTGGGGGGGTGAGGGCATTTGGGCCATCACGAGCCAGGATCTCAGCTGCACGTGCAGTAGTCAAACCCTACAAGACAGGTTCCTTTTTAGGCATTGTGGCAAGACCAGCTGCAGAAGGTAGGTCTGAATTTGCTTGAGTTCTACTGCAGCAACAAGGAGCTGCTAACAGAAAAGGGAGATGTCCAAAGCTGCCAGGGTTCCACAACACAAGTGCAGGATGTGAGAGCTGAATGCCAAAACAGGAGCTACAGGATGCTGAATGCTACTTGAGGAGCCTGCAGGCCATGGGCTTATGAACACAGAAGAAGGGCAGGGCAAGAAGGTTACAGCCAGAGACTCTGAGCTCTGAGGAACAGCATAGTGCCAACCATCATCATCAAATTGTGGAACAAGTGAAAGCTGGAGGCCATAAAATGATGGCATGTTGGAACAGCCTTCCGGGAAGTTCAGCTTTCAGAAGCCAAGATCTTGGACATAAAAATGCAAACCTCTGTACTGTTTTAAAGAGGAGACTCTATGTGATATGCAATTATGCAAGAAATGCATTAAGCAAAGCAAACAACAGCAAAAGTGTAAAACCACTGCAGTGCTTCTGCACTGGACTCTAAGGTAGCCTAGGACATTTGCACACCTCTTACTGCAAAGGCAGAATTTTAGCTGGTACTAGCCATCATTAAGTCTCTGGGTATGTCCTAGCTCTCTAGACTACATCTGCAACATAACAAACATTTGTCTTCATTGCGTGCTCCTCCGGAAAAAAATAACACCAAGAATCAACTTGACCTTGAACGACTCAGAGGCAGATAACAGTGACTTTGTTAGAAGAAGTCACTAAAGCATTGCAGTCAAATTGTACAGTGGGAGGATAAAGAAAAGTATTTGTGAATTCAACAGTTCTCCCAAAGCCTGAGAAACTTAACTGGAGGAGGGGAGATTAAACACAAAAAGAAAAAAAAAAAGAAAAAAAAAAACCCATACCAAAATCAGACCACCCAGATCTCCCTTTGTGAAATGCTCTGAGCTGTGGCTGTTTCTTTTCAGATCAGGGCAAAGAGGGAAGGAATACAATGTTTACCTACCCGACTCAAGTCTGTTCCATATTTACGATGAAGTTCATCAAGGCTCAGCTTGTGGTCATCCTGAAAGACAAGAAATAGTTGGATCAGAAAAGAATCTGTGAAAAGAGCTCAGCGATTCCAACCTCCCACCCCAGGTTTCCTATCTATAACAGTTGATGTGATACCAGGACTCCAGTTCATCCTCTCTGTGAAGAGAAATCTCAAACTCATTCTGGAATTCAGCACAGTCTTATCCTTGGAATTCTTGTGACTATTTGGGTACTTGAAAGCTTTTTTGAAAAAGTCTGACTTTCTCTCATTGCAATCCTTACACCCCAGCAGATTCTGTGAAACCTCAGTGGGTGGGTTTTTTTGGGAGGTTGAGAGAGGAATGGGAAGAAAAGGAGTTGGGAAGGAAGGTAGGAATGTACAGAAGATTAAACCTGTAATTTCACACATTTTTAAGTAGTGTTGCTATATCAAGCACTACTTTGGGGGAAGTGTTTCTTTCCCCAAAGAGGCTTCTTTTCACAGCCTGGCTATTTTTCAGTTGGATTGAGTTGGTTCAGAGCAGTGCCTCACTTACAAAGTTGTACTGGAGGAGCAGATGCTTTAAGTACACATCTCTACTGAACACAGAACGTAATCTTTGCAATATTTAGAATCCCCTCTTCCTAACAGAGGGGTCAAAAATGTTAAAGCCCAGTCTCAAACCCATCAAACAGAAACAAAATCTGCATCACCTTTAAGGACAGCAGATCTAAGCCAGATGATGTTCATAGACAGATATAGCATCATCCAGCTTTCACAGATGGAGATGGGAGACACTCCCCACAGCCTCAAACATCATTAGAAGGAATAACACTGAGGTCAGTCTGAGCAGAGGCCAGCAGTAAATGGAGCTGTACAGCCTCAACTCCTCAGCTGGAATGAAAACAGCAGTCCCACTCACATGACAGCACAATAAAGCCTGTAATGCTGCTATGCAGAGAGCGCTCGCCTGGCTGAGGAAATACATCCACACTGTGCTATGGGTACTGCAGGCAAGTGCAGACTTAGGTTCTGTGTCAAGTGCCTTTTGAGAAGTGATGTTGCCAGGGTCTATTGTGTGCTCCTCTTGATGCTGAAACACTTAGAGCACATCTGACTTGGGGACAGAGGGGAGGAGAAGGGAGATCAGCGCTTTCAGTCACACCACACCGTCAGCACACCAGCTCATTTCTCTTATAGTCAAATTAGGAACAAGGCTCTGGACATAGCAAACATCCTTAAAGCTGCTCTTTCTGTGCCCTACACTCTTACCATCACAACTTCTTTTTTAAGTTCGTCCATGTCCCTCTCCTTCTTCCCCTTCTTCTTTCCGCCATGCTCTGATGTAGCAGTGGGCTCATACTTGTCTCTTCCAGCCTACAAGGGAAGACACAGTATTATTAGAAACATCTTACAGTCAAATTCCACAGCAGTAGACATGAACTATACACACAAGACTGCCAGGCGGACAAAATTATTACAGATTATTAAAGCTTTAGTAAAGCCTTTGACACAGTTTCCTACAGCATTCTCTTGGAGAAACAGGCTGCTTGGACAGGTGCACTGTGCACTGGGTGAAAAACAGCTAGAACCAAGAAACTGGTGGTGAAGAGAGTTACATCCAGCTGGCATCTGGCCACCAGTGGGGCTCTCCAGGCCTCAGTATTGAGGCCAGTCCTGTTTAACATCTTTATCAGTGATCTGGACAAGCAGATCAAGTGCACTCTCAGTCAGTTTGCAGATAATACTAAGCTGGGCAGGAGGGTTGATCTGCTGGAGGGCAGGAAGGCTCTGCAGCGGGATCTGGACAGGCTGGATTGATGGGCCAAGACCAACAATACAAGGTTTAATAAGGCAAAGTGCTGAGTCCTGCCCTTGGGTCACAACAGCCCCAGGCAGCTCTTCAGGCTGGGGGAAGAGTGGCTGGAAAGCTGCCCAGTAGAAAAGGACCTGGGGGTGCTGGTCAACACTGGCTCCACACAAGCCAACATGCGCCCAAGAAGGCCAGTGGCATCCTGGCCTGTGTCAGCAACAGTGTGGCCAGCAGGACCACGGCAGTGATTGTCCCCCTGTGCTTGGCACTGGTGATGCTGCACCGTGAGTGCTGTGCCCAGTTCTGGGCCCCTGACTGCAAGAAGGACATTGAGGTGCTGCAGAGTGCCCAGAGAAGGGCAACAGAGCGGGTGAAGGGTCTGGAGCACAAGTCTGATGAGAAGCAGATGGGGTTGCTGAACCTGAAGGAGACTCAGGGGAGACCTTATTGGTCTCTGCAACTCCCTGAAAGGAGGCTGTAACCAGGTGGGTGCTGGTTTATTCTCCCAAGAAGCCAGAGGAAATTACCTCCAGTTGTGCCAGGAGAGGTTTTTGGCTATTAGGAAAAATTTCTTCACGGAAAGGGCTATCAAGCCCTGGAATACCATGCCCAGGAAACTGGTTGAGTCAACATCCCCAGCAGTATTTAAAAGATGTATAGATGTGGCACTTGGAGAGATGGTTTAGAGGTGGACTTGGCAATGCTGGGTTAGCTGTTAGACTCAACTATTCTAATGGTCTTTTCCAACCTACATGATTCTAAGAAAGTTATGCCACTACAATAAACAACAAAAATGAGCTAGTGAACAGAGAAGTCTGCTCAGTATCATATCAAACACACAGATTAGACCCAGACATTGTGCAAGCCTAGCAAGGAGGAAAGCAAGCTACACACTATTCAGGCAGTCTTGACGCGTGAGCCCCAGCTCAAGCTGAAAAAGTGATGAAGAGCAGAAGAAACCAATTCCTGAGAGCAAACATATGTTTCCAAGACATTAACTCCTCCTTTCCCCTCCCAGCCTTCCACCTCCTCTGGTGATGAAGAGCAGCCTATCAACTGAAGTAAGAGGTGGTACCTCTGGCTGGTCTATTCTGGGGGCTAAGTTCCAACACTTTCATTCTCAGTTTGGCAAACTAGCTGGCCAGTTTACACAACAGAAATCTGCTTTCAATTTATGGCAGTTTGAGCAGCAGGAATGGTATACAAAGCAGCAGTACACTTTTGCAGATTCAATCTGTGCTTAGTCCTGCTTACACTTCACAGAGCAGCTGATTTGCTTAAAGCCTCTTTATTCAGCACGATTTTTATTCACTTTTATTACAGTTAATTCTACATGAAATTGTGCAAAGATTTAGATCAATCATAATGTGGTAAACAAGCATCTAAGGACAAACAAATGATGATTTAGTGCACATAAACATCACTTAAGACAATCCTCTGTTCCCTTCTTTGTGGGACCAATTACACCCCCACACTCTGCCAAGTTTTATATGATGAGATTTTCACCTAATAAGATCCCCAAGAAGAACTTTAAGATGAAATGGCACTTAGTGGCACCAGAGTCAAATCTTTAACAAGATTAAGAAAAGGTTTCAAAGGCATTGCCTTGCTTGTTCTTTGCATGAACACCTCAAACCACGAACTGGACTCCAGAAAGCTGGATTCCTGAGAGTGACCTGGACACACGAACTATTGTTTGGATCCAAGACCTGTCCTGATGAGCAGCTAGCACAGGAAATTATTATCTATTTCGAGAGAAGTATAAACCAAAACCAAAAGTGAAACTGCATGAAAAAGAAGGAAAATCATTACTTTTCTGAAAGCACCCATCAGTCACATCTAGACAAGGGTTTTTACTGTGCTGAGAAAGCTCTGTGTGCAACACTCTGCAGCTATAGTCACACATTCCACAGAAAGTCTCCCCTTGCCCTGCTCAGTAAAGGCAAGCTTTGCACGCCACTACGGAGCTGTGCAATGGAAACAGTTTTTATTAAGTACAGAACAAAGCTATTTGCCTCCACTGATCCAGGAAAAGGACACAGAACTCCAGACTGTCAGCATTCCTGACATTCTCTACCCTGCACCTAAACTCCCATTTCCCTTCTTAAAAAAGAGAAAGCCACAGTACTTAAACCAGCAAGGTCCTTACATTCCAGCATCACAGGAATTTGCCACAGGGCAATTCACAAAAAGCCACCATGAAACGTCTTTCAGTCTCTGAAGGAAACAACTTTGCCTTCTGCTGGAACTATGGCAGACAAGTCCAAACACTGCCCTGCACAAAACACATGCCTCTTGATTACTACTTGAGATGAGAAATGATTCCTAACGAAGGTGAAGGATCTAGTGCCATGTTTGACCACCACTCCATCACCTTCAGCTTCACCCCTTCTCCCCCAAAAAAGCTTGGCAAGCTCTTGCAGGTGATATAAAAACCTCCTGGGTTCTTTGAAACTTTTGTGAGAAATTCAGTTACTCAGCTCATTGGGGGCAATGAATAATCCAGGAATATAGAGGTGCTTAGGCTTTTTCAGCTGCAGCTGAATCAACCTACAAGTGGCCAAACATGAAAAGGCTCACTGGCCTTGTTCAAGAATTATTTGCTTTTAAAAAAAAAAACAAACAAACAAACAAAACAAAACAAAAAAAAAACCACCCAAACCCCAAAAAACCCCAGCGATCAGCTTCAGTCAGAACAAAGACTGGATAGAGTTACTTGCTTCTCTAAGCATCCAAGTATTTGGGTCTTAATGGAGTCTATCTTATGGAGGAGCTCAGCAATTCCTCAGCTTGAAAAAAAAAAAAGCACAATATTTTCAGTACTTTCCCTTCTGTTGCTTTAGTACTACATTCTACCCTTACTGAAAAGTAAGTCAGGAGAATCAGCTTCAGCTCTTGTTAAAGGATCATTTCATGCACAGTTCGAACTTCCTGCTCCATCATTCAAATCTGAACTTGACACACACATCAGAGTCCAAGTCCTGCCCTGTTCTGTGCCTCCAGGGCCATTGCCTCCCTTCCTGCAAGATGAGCCCAATCTGTTCAACAAAGGTTTGTGCTGGCTGGGCTGCCAGGGGAAGAGGTTTTCATCCCACCTCGGCGCTGTAGGATTTCCCTGCTCTCCGTTCTTTTCCTGTTATACAAAGAGAAAAAGGCCTGTGGTACTCCACAGCCACATCTTATCACGATTTAATCACATGGCCTGAACACAAAGGAAGGTCTGTCTCATCAGAAATGTCACCCCTGTTCCTTGACTTAGCCCAAGAACTGACTCATCAAAACTGCCTTGGAAAAAAAACAATGCAGCTTCTTTTTTTTCCATGCAAGATTTATTTTTTTTTCCACTGGCTTAAGCACAACATTTGTACACACCAGCGTAAGAAGTTTTATACATCCCCAGAAAATCCTATTGTCTTTCAAATACAGCTGATGATTTTCCGTTCTGGACTAATTGAGCCATTCATGGCTGATGTTCTCAATACAAGCCATGATTGACCAGGAAACAGGAGGGGTACAAATCAGCAGACAAGCTCAGAAGTACCCTGTTCTAAGAACACCTAATCCAACAAGAAATGTCAAGTAAGAGCCAAAACAAATTATGCAGTCTCTGGAGGCCTGATCTGTTTTACTGCTTATGTCATTATAATCAATTGTGCAGAGAAAACAGAAAAGTTACTGTCCTGCTGCCTTATGAGACAGTAAATATATTAACCAGATGAGTCATAAAACTAACTCCACCTATTGGACTGGAAACTCTGTTCCATGACCCTATGTAATCCTAGCAAGAGATGGCTTTGGATCCTTCTTACTCCTTCCCAAGAACTAGGTTCAATCTCCTATCTTGAATGAAAAATTTAACCTGCATCAATTGATCAGACTCTCAGCATCTAGATGCATCTAGTATAAGGCAGTTTTTACTCAACAGCTAGTAATTGCTAATTGTAGTCTAATTGCAGTCTGCTGTTTCCCAAATTATGAAAGGACAAGCTCTTCTGACATGAGAAGAGATGTAAACCTAATAAGGTTTTTAATCATCAGGATAAAACAATGACCACCCACACACCTTAAGCTCTGTCTGGGTATTAGGACCAACATCTCTACTGCTCTGGAGCTGTGTGAAGACCCAAGAGCAGACACTTCCAAATGTCATCACTGCACAGCTGAGCAGCCCATCCTGGGTTTTTTGGTGCTGTGCCAACTACAAAGAGTCACCTTCCTCACTTCTGTGCCTGTAGTAGTCACCATAACTCCAGACATCCCTAGTAGTTGACAAACACATCAAGTTGAGTGGACTGGACCCAGTTTTCCCCTAGACTAGCTGATGAAGGCTATCCCTTGGAAAGGCCTGGGTGAAGGATGAGCTGTAGTTTTCAGCAGGTCAAAACTGGAGTGGGTTGTACAGCTCACCTCACTTGCCAGAGACCCCTGTCCCTGCTCCCCTATTTTTCCAGAAACACGTGCTGACTAGGCCCAGGGATTTCTCTGGCAAAAAGCCTCTAGCCATAGTAATAAAAAGTGAACTGTCATAAAATAGTCATAGTAATAAAGGAACAAAGAAGATGGGGGAAGGGGAAGGTAATATATTAAGATTTTTAAAATTGCACCAGATAAGGACTGCTTTGATTTGCATTATTTCCCCTCAGTTGGTTCCATTATGCAATAAACCTTTGTAGTTTCTGACAGGGGGGAAAAAACCCTTAACTGTGGTTCAAGGAAATACAAGCTAGCTAAGAGGTGTTTCTGCTCAACACAGGGGTACTTGATCACAGCATCCAGCTTCAAAAAGCCTTCACACACACTTTATTTAGAAAATACAACCTGAATTAAGGACATCTCCTCCTCATGGCCTTTAAGGCAGAGCTGACCTCCAGAAGTGACCCAAAGCACACACCACCAACTCTGTGCTATGTCTGTGTGGTGAGGGAGATGGACTGAAACATGCTGCTGTGTACCAACAGCTTCAAGTCAGCTCTGAACAGGAATGAAATCCAGAGTGCTTTCCTCCGCTACACACTACACACTCCCCCACTGGATAATCTGCTTTTTGGGCTGCATAGCAGCAGCTGGCCCTCCCCTTGCCCCATTACCATTTAAAGTAAAACAGACTCAGCTTATCCTCACAGCCACAGAGAGAAGAAACTTGTTTTCTCGCACTTAGGCTCTGTTTTTCTCTTCCATCCCATGCACCCATGGGAAAGAAGTTTCCTTTTTGGGCACCCTAACTCAGGGCAGGCACATGCTGTTCAGTGTTGCATCCACACTCTGCCTTTTTCACTGCCTCACTCTCTCACATGCCCATTTTTCAGGGGGTCCCCAAATCATATGCACACATTCTCAGCACTGACAAGCAAATCTTGTGACTTGCTACCAGAAAGCATGAGGCAGCAGTATTATCCCTCCTGAATTATTCCTTGTGGCAGTGCTTCAGTTTCAGGCTAATTGCTTTATTATCCATGCAACCTCCGAAATCTGAAATGGAGCAAGACAGTTTTCTACATTGGAAAGCATCTGTACCTCCTATTAGTCCCACCAAGGCAGGCGAAGCTCCTGAAGCCTTTTGTGCTGCAGTCCTGCACACACACACACACACAACTCAAAGGCTGCTCTGATGATTTAAACAAGATTCAGAACACTGCCCACACTGCCAGATCTCTCCTCGGTGTTTTATCTCCTACATGAATTCTACTGTCCATACCGCCTGTTGCCTACTGGACTTAAGTTCAACAGGCTGGGCTGCCAAGCAACAGAAGAACTTCTGTAGGAAAAGAAACCCCATACCCAGAACAAACGCTGAAAGCCCACCCCACACACCCCTCAACCCCGTTTTCCCAGCAACTGTCCATTCAGCCATGTTCTTGCAGCTCTCCCTACTACTCCTGCAGTTATGTCAACATCGCTGCTGCTGTAGGGCACCGATGAGGACAATACAAAGTCAAGCCAATGTTTGAACAGCGCCTGGGAAGCACCGAACACCTGTTGGCAGGGAACATGCTACCACCGCTGCCATGGCCCTGCACGGTCACCCTTCTCCTCAGGAAGCACAGAAAGCTGGGCATTTTACAGGAATGCGTCTAAACCAAACATAAATTTACACACCTCCAACTACACAAGATACACACGGAAGCATTCGAAGGGAAAAAACAAACATCCAAGCAACAAGCTCCAGAAACTGGTCTCTAGTTTTTTGACATAAAATGAAATCAGAGCAAGCCAAGGGGTGTTTCTGCTCCATACACGGGTGCTTGAGCACAACATCCCCCAACTGCCCTCACATACACTTTACTTTAGTTAAAAGACACCATCCGAATGAAAGACTTCTCCCTATAGCCCTGTAATGGGCTATAAGGTACAAACAATGCTGATCCAGGTCAGAAACCGCTGCACAGTGTCCTGCAAGAAGTTATCTCCCCAGCGAGCAGGAGACCTCAGGCGTATCCACCTCCCTTCTGCCACCATCTCCCCTCACACCCTCACTGCTACCAGCAGGCAAATTAGCCCCAATAGCGCTGCCGGCTTCCCTTCCCCCGGCCCCCCCACGCCGGGCCCTCGTGTCTCAAGGAAAGTCTAAAGTACCCTCAGGAGCCCGGGGAGCAGCCGCGCTCCCTCCCCAGCTCCGCAAGGCCACCAGATAACCCAGCCCCGGGGGCTGCGGGCGGACGGGAGGCCCCTGGTCGGGGAGACACGGCCTCAAGGAGGAGCCGGGGGCTTTGGGAAGCCGGCTCCTCGCCCCGGGCTCCGCCACGCCCTCGGCCCGGCTCTTCCTTCCCGCGGGCGGCAGCGGCCGCCTCGCACGTTGCAGGGCGGCTCGGCAACGGCGCCCCTCGCCGATGGCCACGGCCGCCCCCGCACCGGCCCGACCCGACGTGGCCGCCCCGGCTCACACACAAAGCGCAGCCTCGTCCAAGGGAAAGGGGCATCGGCCACGTCCGGCTCCGTGAATTTCCCACTTCCCGCCCCAGCCCGGCCTCGCCGCTCACCCCCTTGCCCATGGTGCCGGGCGACTGCGTGCGGGCCGAGTGACGGGGGGCGAGGAGCGGGGCTCAGCGGCGCCACGTGTCCCGGCCGCCGCAGGTGCGGAACAATAGGAGCACCCCGGCCGGCGCTCTCCTTCCTCTTCTTTCTCCTCCTCCTCGGCTCCTCGCCTTCGCCTCGCCCCCCGCTGCCCCCGCCCGAGTCGTTGCTCTCCGCTGCCGCGACCGCGCGGAGCTCCGGCAACCGCCGGGTTCCCGCCGCATAAAGAGGCTCGCTCCGCCGCCACGCCCAGCCCGTTGTGGCACCCCGCCCCCGGGCGCTGAGGGAGGCGCGAACGGGGGCGGTGCGGGGGGAGGGAGCAGCGGCTGCGGCCGGCGGGGAGCAGCGCCCGCGGGCCCTTCCGCTGTCCCGGGTGCATCTCGGGACGGGGGCTCGCCTTGAAGCTCGCCCGGGCTGCCCCGGCCGCGCCTCGCCGGCCGAGCGCCCCTTGCGCGGCGCCCGCCGTGTGTGCGGCGCCGCCGGCGGGCCGGGGCTCCCCGGGCGCCCTGCCCGCCGCCCCTGCGGGCGCTCGGCCCTGTGGTCCCGGAGCCCCCCGGCGCCGGTTCCCCGCGGGTTTTGCCGCCGCTCGCTGAGGGGCTCAGGGGCCCCGGTGCTCCCTTTCCACCCAGGCGCTTTGTGCTGCGCATGGTCCCCGCCGGGCTGCCAACCTGCCGGAGCCTCAGCGCGCTCGGTTCCGTGCGAGATGCTCTTGCGGGAAACTACTTCTGGTGATACAGGTCTCCATGGAGAGTTAGGGGGCAGCGTTCTGTGCCCTCTGCTGCTCAGGGAGCCTGGCTAGGGAATCAAGTTTGGCTATGGTCATCCTTCCCTTATGCTTCAAATACTGTGAGAGACAGATGCAGAAATTATGACTTTGTGTTTGTTTACTTTGTTTGGTTTGAGGGTTTTCTTGCCGAAGTTTTTTGACTTTGCTTTTACTTCCATCTAGATTTTCTAGTAAAGTAAATGAGCTGATACTCTTTTTTATTCTGGACCGCTTAGTAGAAGCCCTGGAACCCTGTATAAACTTGGAAATGAGAAAGCGTTTCAGGAGACTTCACCTGCTGAGGGTCACAAAAATAGCTGTGAAGTTTCTTGGGAAGAAGGAACATAGAGCACTTCCCTGCTTAGCATGGCTTGAAACCCTTCCATGGGAGAAGAGAACTGAATTCAAGCCTTAAACATCCTGCACAAAGAGCTTGCCCATGAAACTGCCCACAGAACCACGGTCTCTTAGGGAAGTAAGTGCCACTGCAAGCATCATGTTTATTTAAACAATCATGTAGAGGCACCACACAGGTGGTGAGGCTTGGCCCTGTCACTTCACCCTAGACCAGCTTTTAGAGCTTCTGATGGATCTGCTGTTTGCAGATGTGGGGGATGCTCCATCATTGTGACTACAGCTGGACTTAGAAACATCCTGATCACTCAGTTCTTCTGCAACAGAACATACTGAACACGAAAGCAAAAACTAGCAGTGACATCAGATGCAATTTTAGACAGTAGACCAGCATTTCAAAGACACTTTTTAGTTGTCTGCATAAGCTCCATATTGGAGCCTCTCATGGTCGTTATTAGATGTTGCACTGTGTTGACAGACTGAGAGTCTGATGCTTTTGGTTTACCTAGAAAATACATGGACAGCTGTCTCCCTACCAAGCTGCACCAATCCAGCCCTGAGACACTGGGATAGCTTTCATTACTTACCCTTGAAATTTTCTTCTAAAATTTCCCAGGAAAGGCTTGGCTCTTGCCTGTGGGTGGGGAGAAGGGGATAAGCATTCGGAACTAGGTCAGAATTCCAGAGCCTATTCACTGGCAATCACATATTAGTTTCGTTTTCACTCCTTAGCAGCATTTTTGTCCTGAACAGCAACACACTGTACCAAACTTTGCTTTCTTTCTATGTAGCAGTGACGAAGCATCATCAATAGGACACTAAAAGAAGACCTCCAGACCACTTCTGCGCTATGTTGCTCCTGGAAGTGCTACCTAACCAGTGTAGTTGATTTATCACACTAAGTTTGACGCATCTTTTCCTCGGGGTAGTTGATGCACTGTCATTTCTGCATCATATGAAACTATAGCATGTAGCTGTGGTGCTGTAAACCTGGATTAATGTCTGTAACTGTCAGTGTTTTAAACAGAGAACAAATCCATACAGATCAAAAGAAATTTTATTACATCAAACCAGGCAGGGATTGTAATGTTCTGTATTGGAAATGCTTCTGTTCTCTTTCCGTAATAGGTATCAGTGAGATTAGCTTAAGAAAAATCAAGAGAGCTCTGTTTTCAGTATCTACAAGCAATTACAAACTCTTTGAGACCTTGGCAGGGTGACTGAGAGAAGCAGAGATAACATACAGGGAACTTCATTCCTGCCAGCAGTTGAAATCCCAGTCAGGCTCTGGTACTTGAAAATTCCTGCTCTTTGGCTTGTGTGTCCCAGTCCAGGTCATCCCAGGAGTAATCTTGAATTGTTGCTTTGCAGATCTGGAACCATACATACCCTCAGACAGCAGGTGTTGTGTGGTTGTGGGCTGCTGCATAGCAGTCGAATTCCAAGGATAGGTAGCATGGGATGCATTGCAAGGAGAAGGATGAGCCTTAGCTAAGCAGTGCAGAGCATTTATGTGAATGTGGACATCACAAGGCCCTCCTGCCACATTTTTTACTTTGAGAAGCATGGACTGTTTTACAGCAGGGAGTTTTATTATGGCCATTTTCAGAACAGGAGAACAGTCACTGTGTGGGAAGGCCAGCATGCAGAAAAGCTTTAGCAAGTTCCAGTAAAGAGTCCAAGGGTCTGAAAGCCCTTTGCTCCTGCTGCTAGATATGACAGCTTGCTCTCAAAAAGGTTCCTCCTTCCAGTAATAGATTCTGTGTAGGGGAAGCAAATCTTTTTTACCTCTTCACAACTGCCACAGGCTAGGGCTGCATTTGCTGGGAAAACTAGGATCCCAGCAGTGGATAGTCCCCAGAATAGGAAAGAATTGCCTTCTCTCATCTGTTTTTTCTTTCAGTGACATCTCCACCATGAGTTCTCTGTCAGTGTGGTTCAGAGAAGTGGTCAAAAGGGGTTAATGCTTTTTGGAAGACCACCCCTCTTCAGAGGGGCAACAGAGATGACAAGGTGTATGAAACGGTATTTCTATTGACCTTCCATCATGTAATTGCAGGTCTCCTACCCTCTGCTGTCTTGTCCCCTGTTTTTAATTAGGTAATTTTAAGGCATAAGGCAGTGACTTCATTAAAAGGGGTGGGGGGTGGGGGGGAACAATATCTAACTACAAGGTGAGCAAAGATCAAGATCCACTATACCCTGTCAGGCTTGGCTAAGTTTCCGGCATGTTTTTTCCTTCCCCCGGCTAAGAGATACAAACAATTTGCATTTTTGACAGTATTTAGTATTTTTCTGAAGCCTTCCAAGTCGTTCAAATAGTGGTGCAAAAACATGACAAAGGCTTCTCAAAGACCCAGTGAAAATGAGGGCTGCAGCCTCTACCACTGCATATAAATAGATTCACCTTCCGTTAGAGCGCCGGTGTCACGGGCTGCAGAGGCAAAGGGCACAAATACGCAGCATTCCCGGCATTTCAAGTGCCTCAGTGCTATGCCTGGACAAAATTCCTGTGCATTGGCACTTCCCTAAGTGGGAACTCTGGCTGCTCAGCCTTTCCCTGTGCTAAGCTCAAAGTCCCTCAGGCCGAGCACTTAAAAACTGTGGTTCTTTTGTGTTTTCCCAGAGAGGAGGTGGATGGAGGCTTACAAGAGTCATGCAGTGAAGCAGATCAATGTGTGGGATTTAGGGGAATGTGGTTCCTGTCTGACTGCTAGGAGATGGGGTTTTACTTCTGGTTCACAGATCCCCAAAGACTACTTGGGGGGGGGGGGGGAGAGCGATGCTGTGAGAGCACAGGAAAAAAAGCCATTGCCAGTAGATTGAATACACAATTCAAGGATTTGTGCTTAGGAAAAATCAAAAAAAGAGAATAAAGGATTAATATCTTACTCTGAACAAATCTGTAACATGCATTTAAAATGACACTTCTTTTTTAAAGCCCATACTCATAATCTATCATTCCAGTTTTAGTCACCAACACTGTTATTAATTCACCCTACTTTGCCAGTGAGTTATCTGGGAGATAAAGCACCTTTGAAATCCCTAGACTCCCTGGAACCACAGTGTATATCTGTGTGTGCACTTTGCCATTCCAGAGCAGATAAACTGAGTGCCATGTAACTTATGCCTGCTCTGGAAATTATTTGAGCACTAGTAGCTGTATGGGAATAAATCAAAGAGAGCATAAGATTTAGCCAAAAATGTCTGCATTTACTCTTTTTTTTTTTAATTTTTTTTTTTAATTTTCTTCCCATTTGCATCTGCCTGTATTCCATAGCAGGGAGGTGGTTGCATCTAAGTATAGACAAGCTAGTGAAAAATGCCAGATTTTCTTTTCAATCCATACTTTGACTGTTTTCTGCCTAACTGAGAGGACAAGTGGGTGTGTTGATAAGTAAAAGGGAGTTGAAGATTCTTGCTGTAGGGTAGACAAGGAGAAGAAAATAAAGTATGTGTTGCCATACTAGAAACAGCTCTCTTTGGCATTTTACTATCTATGGAAATATTTTGAAATATACAAAAGGCATAGATAATGTTCTACTGAAATTTTTCATTAGAAAAAGATGATGTTTCTAAGGAGAAACATGCTGGAGTCAGGATGTGCCCAAGTCCGAGCTCTGCTCTCTCCACCTGCCTGTGGTGCAGCCTTCAGCCACAGCATGCTGCTGCATCCAGCATTTCAGGTGAAGCACTGCTCAGCGAAAGCTTTCACAGGCTGAGGTCTGTGTTCACCTGCTATAATGCTTCATTTCCAAGGCTGGTGTTCTCTGGGTTGGAGAGACCCTTTCAGCAGGATACCCCGAAGTGCTGGAGTGAGGAGAGCAGCCTGACAGGGACCCTTGCTGGCTGCAGCCTCAGAGGCCAGCACGGAGCTCACTGCCTTACCTGGGGACTGATGGCCAAGTAAGGGTGATGGCACAATATTAAGATCCTTCTAGTACCTGATCTGGTCTACTGGAGGCTGTGCCTCACTTGCCCACACCTTATGCAGCCAATAAGGGTACTAAAGCTTGGTGTTCCTGGTAGGAAAAGAGGATACTGCCTGGAACTTGTTGATCTGAAATAGCCTGAAAGTGACAAGTTTCTAAGCAAGCTACATAAGCTATCAAATTGACAGGGTGCTGGGGGAGAAC